ACTCCCTGCACTATAATTGTGTGGTCAAAGACAGCCTTTTTGTTCTACAGGCAGAGGTTGAAACTAGGACTTGATGAATGCTTAATCATATATAACCCCTTGTCCTCATCGCAAACCTCATTTTCTTATCACTGGGTCAGCCAACCCTTGAAAGTCCAGTTACCCCCACCAATCAGAAATGAATGATGTAAGTTTATGGTCATGTTTATCCTAGCAACCCATCTCTTATTATGATCTCCTTGCTACATTTGCCTTAATAAACCCTGCTCTCCTGGCCACATGTCGCAGTGGTTGAGCATTGACCTATGAATTAGGAGGTCACGTTTCGATTCCCAGTCAGGGCACATGCCCAGGTTGTGTACTCAATCCCTGGTGTGGGCTGTGCAGGAGGCAGTTGGTCAATGATTCTCTCTCATCATTGATGTTTCTATCTCTCTTCCTCTTCCTTCCTCCCTAAAATTGATAAAAATATATTTAAAAAAATAAACCCTACTCTATCCTTTCATTTGGAACATGTTTTCAGTTCATAAAGAGGGCTTTGTCCCTGATTTACGAATCATATATGAATATATCTCCCTTTTAATTTCCTTTGGAATTTTTGTTAACACTGGTATAAATTTCTAGGAGGTATGTTTCCCAATTCATGAGTGACTTAATAAAAATCATTATACATATATTGATTTCAGAGAGGAAGGGAGAGGAAAAGAGAGATAGAAACATCAATGATGAGAGAGAATCATCAATCAGCTGCCTCCTGCATGCCCCACACAGGGGACCAAGCCCACAACCAGGCATGTGCCCTGACCAGGAATCAAACACTGACCTCCCGGTTCATAGGTTGACGCTCAACCACTGAGCGACACCGCAGGCCAAACACTTTTCTTAAATGTGTGTAAAGAGTGATGAGAGGGTGACTCTCTATGGAGCATGCCCACGCTTCCCCCACCCCTTTCCCCGGGTGTGTTTTCCTTGCCTCTCTCTTTCTCCTAAGCTCCGAGGGCCCTTCTTTTGCCTCAGTGACTTGTTTCCTGAGTCCACACCCAGCTTCTTCCACTTTCCTACCTCTGTGGCTTTCTAAATAAGTTCTAAACTTTCTAAACTTTCTCGTATAGTTTGGGGAAGAAAAAAGTAATGAAAGGCCAGGAGGTTCACCAGAATGGTAGCTGTGTTGGTAGGGTTCCGGGGTCTTTATCCCACTGAGAATATACACAACCCTTTGAGAGTGAGGTGGGGACACTGATGATCTCCTGCAGTGTCTTGGGGAAGATAAGCTGTTGCAACTACTCAGGTTCGCTTGGCACACAGTTCTATGGATTTAAATCTTGAATTAATCTTGAATCCGAATTCTGTCTTTCCCAAGGAATCCTCTCATCTCAATTTCATACTTTAGACTTTAGAGTCTATTATCACTAGTAAATGTCTGCATAACATTTTGCTGTTTAAATGAGCAAATCAATGCTCTGGTCTAATGATCATTTTGTGAGGATGGTTAGTGTGAATTCATTCATCCGAGCATAACAAAGTCTTTTGGATGCATTGCAGAAACAGAGTTTCAATATATCTTGACAATGAAATATCTTAATTAAATTACCAGAAAATTTTATAGAAATCTGGTTTATGGTTTTACATGAAGCCGGAGCAACAAATGTTCTACAGCATTTCTTGTAGAACAACAAATGTAGCCTGCTGAACAAATCTGGCGCACACTCCTGTCTTGTATATCTACGAATCCTTTTTACATTTATTAAGTATGGTGGGGGTTTTGTTTTGCTTTTTAAAAGGCAGACTGCAAAGTATTTATTATTGAGTCCCATCACAGAAGTTTATTGACCACTGGTCTACAGGAACAAAGCACTTCCCTCTGTCCTACCCCCACCCATCAAAACAAAATGTAAAAAAAAAAAAAATTACACAAAGCCAACAAAGAAGTGAAAGGATGACCTTTCCAACAAAAGGAAGAAGGTCCTCCTTGATTTTAGCACTTTGAGTCCAAATCTGCACAAAAGAAGATTCAAAATATTTTGGTAATAATTCAAAATAAAAAAAACTTTAGGATCACACCAAGGTATGTAGTAGAAGTTGAAAAAGAATACTTGGACAGCTACTCTTCTTGAAATTAATTGAAAATGAACAATTCAATATAAACAACCATGTAATCATAAAATCTTAAAGCTAAAAGAAATCCTTGTTTTACAGATGCAAGATAAAATTCAGAGAATGAAAGGATGTATGAAAACAAAACATAAAATGCAAATTAAACCCTAGCTGGTTTGACTCAGCGGATAGAGTGTCAGCCAGTGGACTGAAGGGTCCTGGGTTCGATTCTGGTCAAGGGCACATGCTGGGATTGCAGGCTTGATCCCCAGTAGGGGGCATTCCGATCAATGATTCTCTCTTATCATTGATGTTTCTATCTCTCTCACCCTCTCCCTTCCTCTCTGAAACCAATAAAAATATTTTAAATGCAAATTAAGTATTAATTACCTAATCTTTATGATTTCTGAGGTAGGTAAAGCAATGTTACCAGCATGATCATATAATTTATCACACCAGGACACTTAAAATAAGTAAAGGGCATATAAAATTCTACAACTTTTGAAAATATGTATTGATTGCATATTCACTTTATTATATTGGTGGGCCTATAAAATAGTTTTACTTGAAGCCTATTTCAAAAATAAGCGAATGAAGTGCATGAAACCTGTTTGGATTATTTGTCTATGTGCACATAAGAAATAGGTTTCAATGTGAATATGATATTTATTACCATGGATACCAGTCAAAAATTTTAATACTACAACGACTTGGAAGCGCTCTCAAGCCAATGACCTTCTATAATCCCACTGCTGCATCGAAAATAAAAGTTCTTTTGACACAGTACAGAAAGAGGTATTATAAAACAATGGACAGTTCTGTCACAAAGGAATGCAAAATAAAACAGAAAGTACAGAATTTCTATCAAGTTAATGCCTCGGGTAGAACCCATAGCCCAAGACAGTGATTCTCACAGACCTCAGGGACAGTCATAAAGTTATCACCTGTTACCAACTTGTCACCAAGTGGCTGGCGGGGCTCCTGAAGAATAGGACCAAATAGAGAGCTTAGCACCAGCGCCTGCTGCTGACAGCTCAGACAGTGCCTGCCAGTGACCAGCAGTGGTGAGAGCCCATGCTGTTGGATGACGAATACCCTCTATGAGAGGATATATTCAAATTCCTATTAATTCAAAAAGTAGGTGCTATTAATATTATTGGCTACTTTGTTTAAGTATATTTTGTGTATGAAGTATAGATATCTATTGCTCTCTCTATAGATCATATGTATAATATATTTCTCCTGTATGGGGAACAGTACATACAAAAACCTGTGGGTAAGCTTGTCTGGCGTGGCTCAGTGGTTGAGTGCCAACCTCTGAACCAGGAGGTCAAGGTTCAATTCCCAATCAGGGCACATGCCCTGGTTTGATCCCCAGTAGGAGGCGTGCAGGAGGCAGCCAATCAATGATTCTCTCTCTCATCATTGATGTTTCTGTCTCTCTCTTTCCCTCTACCTTCCTCTCTGAAATCAACAAACAAACAAAAAATATTTAAAAACCTGTGGGTAAGCCTGGCTTGTGTAAAAAGAAAGAACTGTACCAAGAACAGAAAAAACTGATTAACCCCAATGGTTAGATAATAATCAGGTAAAGAGAGAGTGTGATAATATTTTATAACATAATGCATTAATCAAATGTCATTTAAAAAAAGAAGAAAAATGTTCCTTCAAGTTCAAAGATAAAAATACAATGCTATGTCCCCAGGCAAATATTGCAACAACATGGCAGGACTCCTGTTGATGCTAAATGATATCTAAAATGATTTCCTCTCTGAAATCAATAAAAATACGCTGGAAAAAAAATAACCCAGAGAGAAGTGGGAAAGTAGTGACTGGGACAGGGGCACAAGTGAGGCTTCTAGATGCTGGAATGTCTACTCCTTGACCTGGATTGGTGGTTGCATGGCCTGTTCCTTTTATGATAATTCACTAAACTGTACTTTTCCCTATATTACCCTTCAATAAAAAAAGAAGAACCCTTCCCTATTATTGGTAAAAGTTAGCATGAAGAGAGGATGTATAAATAAGTGAGAAGTATGTGAAGGAAGAAAAAAACCTGAATAGGGCCAGTTATAACAGTTATTATATCATAAGTCTAAAATATTCAGGATCTTAGAAGTTACCAACTCCTGGTATGAACAGTTCTTTATGGAGGTGCCCTGGAGAGACTGACATGTCAGGGCTCACAGGGCCCAGACACCTGTATGTGAGCAAAGTTCCCGGTGATCTCATGCACGGAAGCACTGAACTGCCCCAGGAAGCCTCAGTCACCGGGGCCTGGCTCTCTGCACCTACAGCCTAAGGCCCAGCCACGATCCCTGAGATCATCTAATTCCACCTCAGAGAAACCTCAGTAAGTTCTACTAACCTTTCAAGGTTTATCAAAGCTTTTTTCTTTATAATGGCTTTTTTTATCCTATAAATAACTCTGGTTTTTCCAACATAGTTTAGATTTCATACTTCCAATACAGCATCAATACAGTTGTTATTTCTTATTTGTTAAATAATGGCAGATCATAAACTCATATTATATGGAAGCTGGAGGGCAATCGGCACACCTACTCAGCTTAAAGATGAAGCTGCTAACAGGTATTAGTGACTTTTCACGAGTCTCTCTCTACAGTTCAATTATTTTAAGACAATATATTAAACCAGATTTCTCTCATGTGGTTACTGTCTCACCAGATGAACTAATAAACAATATATAATATCACTAGTTTATGACTTGGGTTCTTTCAGTTTATTATGATTTTTATGAAGGTTTTTACTGAAAAAAATTCTGGCTGAACAATAATATGATGGCAAATGAAAAGAAGACAACAAAAAACGCCAATGAATACTTAAATCAAGATGCTCCCTTTTTATTTTAGTTTTTTATTGATTGATTTGAGAAAGCATCAGTTTGTTGTTCCACTTATTGATGCATGCATTGATTGCTTCTTGTGTGTGCCCTGACCTTAGACTGAACCCACAGCCTTGGTATATCGGACCACATTCTAAACAACCGAGATACCCAGCCAGCGCTAGGTGCTCCCCTTGTAATATGTACATAAATCATGTAAATTAAAGAGGAATTTAAGTATATTTTTTAAGAAACAGCAATTTTAGGTAGGCAATTGTAAGGAAGATAACGATCATGCATGCCAAGGCTACATGATTCTTCCACAGGCCCCACGGTGAGAGATCGATGCCCTGGTTTACCAAGAATTCTTCTCCGGTACATCTGAAATTCAACAGAAAAGAATATGACTGCATTCTTAGCTTCTGTCCAATTTTACTCAATATAGTTGCTGTTCCTTAAAGAAGCCTATAGATTGCCAAGTCTGAAATAACTATCCCTTCATATATAACAGGTAACAGTCAATGAGTACTTACAATTCTGCTAGCTACCAGGATAGGCAACCTGCATATCACAGTTTAGTTAACCCCTAAAACAACTCAGTGGGGTGGATATTATACACATTTAAAAGATGAAGAGACTGAGGTTTAAGGAACTTGGCCAAGTCCACAGGCTCACACTTTGAACCAAGTTGCTATCCTCTCCAGATTCATTTGGCTCCCAATCTATGAATTGCTCTCTTCAAAGGCAGAAATGTTTATCAAGTAAATTTTCACTTCTCCTAAAAGAGAAATCCTCCGCTTTCACAGATGACACATAGGCCCTTGCAAACATGGTCAAGGCTCTTTATAGAGCGCATTACCCACAAATCAGCCACACAAAGGAATGCAAAACTAGGAAAAGAGGTGGAGAAGGGCTTCCTGACTGTTGAACTCCCACAGCTCTAGGACAAAGACCCGGATGAGCCTGGCACACCTCAGCCACAGGGCATCACCGCAGGCCCAGGTATCAGGTGAGGCCTCAGGGGAAGCTGGAGTAGAGCGGGAAGGAGGAGCCCTGCCACGGGTTAGATGAGCACCTGGTACTAAAAATAACTGGCACAGCCACCATTCTTGTCTGGTAGGTACCATTGCTGTGTGACTCCTGGAACTTAGCAGTTCTGAAACACGTCACACCCAGATCAAAAGAGGGGCTTAGTCAGGATAAAGAAACCTCTTCCTCCCTAGAGGTTTCCTGGCAATAGAGTTGACCCTTGAACAATGTGGGGTTAGGGATGCTGACCCCCATACACAGTCAAATATTTACATATAACTTTTAACTCCCTTCAAATTTAACTACCAATAGCCTACTGTTGACCAGAGAAAGCCTTACTGATGATATAACAGTCGATTAATACATGTTTTGTATGCTATATGTATTAGATACTATATTCTTACAATACCATAAGCTAAAGAAAAGAAAATGTCAATAAGAAAATAGTAAGAGAAAATACATTCACAGTATTTACTTAAAAATAAAGTCCCCTTATAAGTGTACCCACAGAGTTCTAACCTGTGTTATTCAAAAGCCAACTGTTCTTCAAAATAGCAATTTGTGCTGTTATTCAGAATTATTTCTGATCTACTTGAATGATCATGAGACTTAGGATACCAGCATCCCATTAATTAATGTTTCGAAATCAAACCCTTAGCAATAATCGTTGAAGAGGAAAGCGTCACTTTCAAAAACATCCCCTAATTTTATTAAAATCTGCATTTCTATTTTATTGACATTATTTTAAAAAAATGGGATTTCCTTCTCAGCTTAATGAAAGATGTACAGTCCTTCCATTAGCAGTATGCCACGTCAGTTTAAAAAACAAACACAGAAACTGTGCAGACTGGTTTTATGATGTTTCCTAAATGCAGGAGGAAAAGACAAGTACCAGGACCGTGGCAGGAAAGCCTTAACGTTATGGACCCATAGAGGTTACGTAATCCAGACAGTGCCGCCCTGTAAGGCCTTGCTAAAATATCAACACAGCTCATTCCAAAAGCAAATGTTCTGAAAATCAAATCTCACACCCACAGGGAAAACAGCAAAAGGAACTTTTAAAAAGCCCATAAGAAACATGTCTCCAACTTAAACACAATTTTGACCATAGTCGATACTAGGAGTTGTACCATACTTTCTAATGCATGAGTGGACAACAACTCACTTTACAGATAAGAAAACTCAGTCTCAGAGAAGCCAGGGTCCCTGAAAGCACTCATTCCAGCTCAGCCCAGTGGCCTTTCTCCATCCCACCAAACAGTAACCAAATGCATCACTTACGTTGCAAAGTCACAGGTATTGTTTGCTGTGACATTGAGTCCCGGGCAGAAGTGTAGTCCCAAAAATTCATTATGCTGCAAAGCCTATAACACAAGAGGGAGTGGGCAAGGTAAATAGTTTTAATGTCAAAGTCTCCAAAGAATTATCACAAGGTCATCTCCTAGTTTAATCTTTATTGTTATTTCTGAAAACAAATCAAGCCTTACATTCACAGTCTTTGTCACACCAGAGCAACTAAAATGATTGTTCCTGGTAGTCAGGAGGAATGGGGGTGGGATTTTTGGCTTCTAACAAAGAAAAGAAAGTATTCTGCCAGAGACCTCTGGCTATATTAGTGCATAGCACCTTCCTCCTTCTCCCCCCAATGTTGTAAGCCCATAAACACGGTAACAAAAATGATGCCTTGATACTCAATGACTGTTGTTAATTTATGGTAACATATTTTATATGATTCTTGTGTTTGTTTGTTTTAATCAAAATCAGGTATAATTCTTGGTAATAAGAAATTCAATTATAATATATTAAGTTTTCTTCAGAGTTAATTAGGTTTTAAAGCCAATAGTGGCTATGAATATTACGTAGTTTTGGTTTTTCTTCTAATTTCCCTCACAATATAAAACATGTATTCTAGACTCTCATCCTCTCATGTATTTCCTTATTGAACTGAAAACCAACAACAGTCTTTACATCAGTTAGTCAATCTTCCTGCTTCACTATGAGTTAGACCCTACCCTTCACCTCCCTCACACCTCAGGGTGACTGGGGAAAGCCAGGTGATCATCAAGGTGGCTCAAGGCTTAACAGGAAAGGTTCCATCACTGCTCCTAAAAGAAAATTCCTGGGAGACCTCCACAGCTCATGTCTGGGGACATGAGATGGTCAGGCTTCTTCTGCTTGTCCCAGCTTGGGAACAATGGACCAGTCACAGGGACAGAAGAGAACTTACCGCATAGCCATACCGAGGAATGCTCAAGTACTGAAGCCATGAGAGCCAAGGCACAACGGTTGTGAGATTGACCAACAGCCCTGAGAAAATCTACAAGAGAAAATCCCAGCAATCAGAACTGGAAGAGTGATTTCATGAATTCTAAAGCTTACCCTCTTTAACCCCCTACAACACTGTAACCATTTCTGCTAAGGCCAACACTTTCTTAAAATTTCTTCCACTGCTCTAAAGGCTTACCATGTCCTCTTTGCATGTGTATTCCTCTCTTAGCTGAGGCTGTTTGTGGCTGTGAAGGAATGACAATGTATCTATGTTTCATTGAATGGGAAGATCCTTAATTGTCAAGGCTTTTACTTCTCTCTGTAACAGCACACAATGGAAGGCCATGGTCCCGACTGTTGTAATGATGCAACCACTATGTTCCCACCAATGGACACCCCAGAACATATCCTGAGCACCTGGTGGGCCTCTATACTTCCTTAACACAGTAAGCTTTCTGATCCACAGGGTTTGCATTCCATCTCCAAATGACTTTAGGAATAATTTGGAGTTCAGAATGGATGCTTAAAATAACCCAAAGCTTAGGACTAGTACTGTGTAATGTGAAGTGCAGCATAAAACAAAACCAATACCTTCATTTCAAGTTACAAAAAAGCGGTATTGCCATGGAGACCCCAGGAAGGACTGCTCCAGCAGGAGATGGCTACATAAGAAGAGGTTCATGCAAAACTTCTAACTGGCACTTCCCATGAGAAGATGGGCATAACAAGAACTGATGCTGTTGGAAATACATATTCTTCAACTTGATCCAACAAAGTGCTTTAATATGTAACATCTCTCAGTAAAATACAGTTTTATATGTGGCTTTAAAATTCTATTTATAAACCATTAAATACTAATAAACCATAGCATCTAATACCTAAAATAAAACATGTTTATATATTGAAAGATATTTTATTTATTGGATGACATTATAGAAAATTGTCCCAAGGTTTATCACTTTCTCAATAATGTTTAGATTGGTAGTTTTCAATGGCAAGAGTGTGCTGTTTGTAAACTTTTAAAGACATCTACTCCTACTCTAGCAGGAAAGATGTGTAGTAAGTAAATAGGCTAAGCATTCCCATTCACTTAATATGTTATGGGTTAATGTGCTAACTGGTTCCCTTCACCTGTTCATTCATCCATGTGCATGCAAAATTAAGGGGCATATAAGATAGGATTAAGTAACCATTTCAAAAAAGGTAACCAGAAATATATTGATACAAAAGAATGTCAGGAACCCAGAAAGGCTGGCTGTGTGGACTTTGGAATATTTCTTCTTTTTTTTTTAATTCAGAAAATTGTATTTTTATTAAGATATGCTTACTTGGAATATTTTGCCATTTTTAAAATGTTCCTTTTCAAAATATAGAAGAAATCAAGATAGACTATCCATGCCACACACTATTCAATTTCTCATGGAGCTTAGCTTTTCCCTTGGAAAGTATTTGATCCAAATAAACCCTCTCAGTTTCTGGGAAAATAAGCCAGCAGTTCTCTAACACCAGCATGGAAGTCAGGCAATGAACCTGCCATTTCTATGAGGGAAACTTCCAATCAAAATTTTTCTGTTTTGAAGTTCCCAGTCATCAAGTTTTCACTGTACGTCACCAAGAAGCATTTTTTAAAAATCTCATTTGTAACAACATGCTAACTAAAGTTATAATAATTATATTAGAACAGTAGCACACACACAAAAAGGTTGTGGAAAAGCTGGCACATTCTCTAATATGTTATATTTAAATATATGGTTTCCTTAAAGCTAAGAGGCCCATTGACAAAATCCCCAAAACAAGTTTTCTAAGACAGGCAAATTTGCAGAAGAAATGGGGGTGAGGGGGAAATAATTGTTTCTCAGAGAAGCACAGTTCCTACTCACCATCATAAACACAAAGGAGATGGTCATGAGAAGGGTTGCTATGGATACCACACTCTGACCTGCTGCTATGGCCAGTGCCATAGAACTGGCCGAGTAAGCCACAATCATAAGGGTAAATATCATGATGAAGAAGGCCTCCACCTTCGGTTTCAATCCTTAGGAAGGAAAGAGGGGGTTAATCCAACCACCTAGGTCCCTGTGTGTTAGGGAATTGTTTATTGTGTAAATATTTAGAGAAATGAATATCAGATTTAAAAAAATTCATCCTCTATCGAACCACCGTGAGTCACCAATTTCATTGCCCCCCCTCAAATATAACTGTATAAAAATATCATACAGTTTTCTTTTTGATACTACTGCATAAGCACATTTTCATGTAACTCCTAATCTCCCTGTTGCACAATTATTACCAATTTCTGAGAGCTGAGGTGGAGGGCTGGAGGCTACACACCTGGCCAGAATTCTGCCTTCTCGCTAAGAAGGAATCTTGTCAAGAGCACATGCTTTCCCCCCAGATATCATCTTCCTCACAGTTTGCTGTAGCAGTGACAGTGGAGAAACTGGGAGATCAGGATCCCATGACCTCCAGGCATTTCACTCTCTGAGGGAGTGCTGCCAGGTCTCTGAGACAAACACCACAGAGCTTGGGATTGAGGGTGGGGTTAAATGAAGTTTCACAAAACTACTATATAGCTATAATGGGGCACTATTGCAGCTCATACACTCTGAAGGTATTGGAGCAGCCACAAGAACACTAGTCAGGAGCTGAGGATCCAGGTTCTGTGCCTAATTGTTTAAGACACACCCCTATTTGTAAAATGAAAGTTTAAACTCTTTCAGTGGATCTTTCCCTATAGTGTTTTGTAAAAAATATATATATTTCTGTTGTGTGTGTATATATACAGTGAAATATATGGAAGTCCAAGCCTGGAGAAGCCTAAACACAATGCACAAATGAATCCGTCTACATCTATTTAAAAAGTATTTTTATTAAAGCAATACACCCCAAAGTCTCATTCTTTCACCATATATATATATATAAATTCCCCAGCTCCAGCTCCTCCAGCACAGTCTCAAATAGTTTATGAATTCTTTCCATGTCTGTATATGACACATACCATCACTGAGTAAAATATCCTATCGAATAAAGAGGTAATATGCAAATTGACCATCACTCCAACACACAAGATGGCTGCCCCCATGTGGACACAAGATAGCCAGCAGGGGAAGGCAGTTGGGGGCAATCAGACCTGCAGGGGAGGGCAGTTAGGGGTGTGGGCTGGCAGAGGAGGGCAGTTGGGAGCGACCAGGCCTGCAGGGGTGGGCAGTTGGAGGGGACCAGGCCTGCAGGGGAGGGCAGTTAGGGGGGACCAAGTCTGCAGGGGAGGGCAGTTGGGGGCAACCAGGCCTGCAGGGGAGCAGTTAAGAGTCGATCAGGCTGGCAGGCAGAAGTGTTAGGGGCAATCAGGCAGGCAGGCAGGTGAGCGGTTGGGAGCCAGCAGTCCTGGATGTTTATTTAAAGTCTTGACATAAATATCCTCAGAGAAAAGTTACTTCAGAGGGTACAAAATAGATAGATGCTTCCTTATATCATGGCATGGTTTATAGTTTTGGGGACCAAATACATGCTTACAAAAAAAAAAATTAACTTCCTCTCACATCCAAGACTATAGACTCATACTGTCTGTCTTATTGCTTACCTAACAAGAAGTATATTGTGCAAGTAAATATGATACTTGGTATCATCCTCATCGGCAGTAAATCAGATAGGAGTTTCCCAAAGAAATAAGATGACACTCTGTAGTATCCACTGATATATTCATGTCTAAAAACAAAAATACACATGATGCATCCCACTTTAGTTTAAGAAGGCACAGACCGGATGATTAAACCATTTGCTGTCCTGATTTCTGCTGCCAGCAGGGGTCTAACAACTACAGCTTCTCACATCCTCCAGGTTAACCCACCACCTTCACCCAGTCGGCATCAGGCATCATCTCAGGTGCATGCCGCCCCTGAGACCTGGTTCCCAAGAGCTCTGTGCAAGGACCCCTCTTCAATTTACAATTCATCCCACTACTTTCTCTCTACCAAGCCCCTCAAACTTTTTGTGTCAAGGTCCTCATGACTTCTTATTTGCTAAAACAAATAGATCCTTTTCAACCTCCATTGCTTGCATTCTCTGTACCGTTGTCCTTGTGGCTGTGCCCTAATCTTTAAACTCCCTTTCCCCTTGGTCTCAGGCCCCACATGCTCATGATTTCCCTCCCAGCCCCAGGCTGCTTTTTCTCAATGAACACTGGTAATCTCAGGGACCAATCCGTGGCCAACTTCTGGATGTGACCAGTTTGACCAACAGCCCTGACACTGGACAGCGCCCTTCCCAGAACAGAGCCACACTCACATGAAGAGCTTCTTCTCCACCACGAAGAGCTCCACAGATGTTATGCTGCTGAAACACTGGTTGGTGGTCAGGAAGAAGAGCACCCCAGCTCTGCGGTGAGAGAAGGGGAAGAAAAGCACTGCAGTCAGTTACACGTTCTTAGATCATTCCTACCTGCTGAACTGTTTCCTCACATGATATCTTACGACATTAACTGCTCAGGTTAAAACAGTGAGGGAGGGAAAGAGTGAGTCCCCTCAGACCTCTCCCCATCCCAGTGTCTCCACAGTGGTGCCCCTGGGACTCCATAGAGCACAGTTTGAATGTCATAGTCCTGGGTTGGCATGGATTGAATTGTGCCCTCCCTATGTTGAAACCCTACCCCTCAATGTGATATTTAGAGGTGGCATCTTTGGAAGGTAAGTAAGTTTAGATGAGGTCTTGAGGGTAAGTCCCTCATGACAACATTAGTGCCCTTAGAAAAAAGGGAGATTTTTCAGAGTTCTCTCTGTGCCATGCAAGGACGCAGCAGGAAGGAGCAAGCCAGAAGAGCGTCTTCATCAGAACCCAAACATATTGGCATCCTACTCTCTAGAATTGTAAAAAATACATTTCTGTTGTTTAACCCATCCCATCTGTGGTTCTTTGTTATGGCAGCCAAGGTGATGATTACCTAGGTCATAAACATGCTACCACCATTCATTTGAACTAACAAAAACACAAGTACCATCCTAATGTAGAAATAGCCAAATAAAGAAAGTCTGCAAAGGTTAAAACCTCCATTAGCCACTTTGTCAAAGTTGAGTAAAGAAGAAACTAAGAATGAGGAGTCAAAATGAAAGAGTGTAGGGAAACCTCTAGCAATACCTCATTATATACATTCACCACACAATCATCAGGAAAACTTTCATATTATCCTGGATAACCCACTGTCAGCATGGTTTCCAATGTGCTCAAAACGAAAGCCAATCATGCCTCTAAAGGAAAAATTAATTTGTACATGTATGAAAAAGGAAGACTATTAATGTTTCTCTCTCCGTAAAGTAATTAAGGTTCAAAAAGGAAAGTATTCATTTCATCTGTACTTTGATAGAACTATACATTTTATGGAAGCATGCCAGCATCTCCAAAACAGTGTTGCACTTCCTAGCACAACCAAATAATTTAATTAACATTGAGTATGTGAGTGTATACTAAAAGAGATGAAGTGGTGCATTATTTAAATGACACAAAATTAAGAGAGCATTTTTTAAAAATGTAAACCCAAGTGTGCAACCCTAAACACAATGAGTCCATAGACAAAGGAATTGTTTCTTTATTAAAGGAACTTTTTAACACTAATAAGAATAAGAATAAAAATAATAATAAACAACATAGACAACAGGCTGTATTAAAAGTAAATGTGTAAAAAAGAAAGAAAAAAGTTTTTAAAGAAAAATAAAGTAGCCCTGGCTGGTTTGGCTCACTGGATAGAGTGTCGGCCTGGGGACTGAAGGGTCCCAGGTTAGATTCCGGTCAAGGGCATGTACCTTGGTTGTGGGCACATCCCCAGTAGGGGATGTGCAGGAGGCAGCTGATCGATGCTTCTCTCTCATCGATGTTTCTGACTCTCTGTCCCTCTCCCTTCCTCTCTGTAAAAAATCAATAAAATATATTTTTTTAAAAAGAAAAATAAATATTTATACATTGATAAGAAATGAAAAATAGCCAGTAGACAAGCAGATATGCAACTTTCTAGACACAAAAAGACCTAATATCAAAGTATTAGCTAATTTCAGAAACACAGGACATGGCAACATTCAGCTCAATTTATTGTCTTACATCTAACAGTACAGTAATGTTCATAAGGAATTGAAATTCATAGATATTGAAATTCCTTTTTAAATTATAAGGATTTATTTTATAATATTAAATACTTCTTGTTAAAGAATTTAGTGTGTTCTAATTCTTTACAAGCTAGTACTCCATGTTACAGTTAGATAAAAAAAAAACCTTCTCTACATCAAACAAATAAAAAAAACCAGAAAGGTAATTAACTGGATTATGTGTATCAAAGAACACTTTTAACAGAGTGAAAAGACAACCCACAGAATGTCAAAAAATATCTGTAAAAAATAAGGGGTTAATATCCAGAATATATAAAGAACTCTTACTGCCCTAGCCAATTCAGCTTAGCGGATAGAGTGTCAACCTATGGACTGAAGGGTTCTGGGTTTGATTCCGGTCAAGGGCACGTGCCTGGTTTTCGGGCTGGATCCCCAATAGGGGGCCTGCAGAAGGCAGCCGATCAACTATTCTCTCTCATCATTGATGTTTCTGTCTCTCTCTCCCTCTCCCTTCCTCTCTGAAATCAATAAAAATATTTTTTTTAAAAGAACTCTTACAGCTCCACAATTTAAAAAATATAATTTAAAAAATGGGCAAAGAACTTGAGTAGACATTTCTCCAAAGAAAACATACAAAAGGCCAATAACTACATGAAGAGATGCTCAGCATCATTAATCACTAGGGAAATACAAATCAAAACCACAAAGAGATACCAATTCACACCAATTAGGGTGGCTATTATAAAGAAACACAGTAGGTGCTGCCCATCTTGGGGAGAAACTGAACCGTTGTGCAGTGCTGATAGAAATGGAAAATGGTGCAGCTGCTGTAGGAAAACAGGATGGAAGTTTCTCAAAAAAATTAATAGAATTACCAACTGACCCAGTAACTCCATTTTTTTTAAAAAAAATATATTTTATTGATTTTTTACAGAGAGGAAGGGAAGGGATAGAGAGTTAGAAACATCGATGAGAGAGAAACATCGATCAGCTGCCTCCTGCACACTCCCCACTGGGTATGTGCCCGCAACCAAGGTACATGCCCTTGACCGGAATCGAACCCGGGACCCTTGAGTCCGCAGGCCGACGTTCTATCCACTGAGCCAAACCAGTTAGGGCAGTAACTCCATTTTTGAGTTTATATCCAAAAGAACTTAAAATGAGACTCAAACACATTTATGTGTACCCCCATGTGCATAGCAGCATTACTCATAAGAGCCAAAACATGGAAGCAACCCAAGTGTCCATGAACAAATAAATGGGTAAGCAAAACATGGGGCTTCCATACAATGGAATGTTATTCAGCCTTTAAAAGGAAGAAATGCTACAAGATGGATAGGCTTGAAGATATTATGCTCAGGCAAATAAGCCAGTCACAAAGGACAAATACTGTATGATACACTTATATGAGGTACCTACAGTAGTCACACTCTGAGACAGAAAGTATAACGGTGGTTTCCAGGGGCTGGGAAAAGGGCAAGTATGGAGTTATTGTTCAATGAGTACAGAGATTCAGTTTGGAAATATGAAAAATGTTCTGGACTTTATGTTGGTGGTGACTGCACAACAATGTGATTGTAATTAATGCCACGGAACTGCACAGCTAAAACTGAATAGGAGGGTAAATTTTATGTTCTGTATTTTTTACATGAAATTTCCATATATATGAAAATTAACTCTTCCATTCTGTCTGCACTTCACTGATTTATCCTACTCCTCAGTTTGTCCTGTACTTGTCTGAAATTCAAATTTTTAATAAACTTTCATAACCTTGAATAAAGTAACAGTGCTTTCTCAAAGTCAAGATCCAAAATTACTTACCTGTTCTGGATTCCAGCAGGGTTATGTTTCAGATCATAGAAAATGGCACCTATAACCAGCCCCAGGAAGGCTGTTACAATTATCTTTTCAAAAAGAAAAAAAGAGTTTCAATTAAAGGTAAAAACTTGGCATACCATTTATTATTATAATATATAGGATGTCCCAAAAAATGTATATACACACTCTGAATAATTATAAAGGCAATGTTTATTAAAATACATTTCAACTTCAAAATTGAGCTACCAGCTGTTAAAGTGTGTATATATTTATTTGGGATAGCAGGGATATGGCTATAATCAAATCTCTCTATTTAAGTATTCTCTCCATGTAAGTATTCAAAAACATCATTTAAATGGTTTGCCCAAAGTCCTTGGAAAAATATAAAACAGTGTATGCTATTAGACTGCCTTCTAAATTAAAATTAAAAATAATATATCTGTTGTTGGGGAGACTGAAGGACAAGGAAGGAGACTACTGGAGAAGCTGGGTTCCTCCGGGGACTCCCAGGCACTGCCAGTTCAGGGGCCAGATCAGGCTGCTGGGCCTGGAAATGCCACAGAGAGCAGAGAACAGTGCAAGCATCTAGCAAATTGTTGGGGAAGAAAAAGAAAATTCAAGTGGCTCAGAGTTCTGGCCTGAACACTTAACCTTTGTGCTAATGAACATGCATTGTTTCAAGAGGTTTAAGTGAAAACAGAATATTAAAATTTTAATGTCACTCTTAGCATTAAAAACAACTTTTAAAGCACACATAAAATTTATAACACTGGAATTTTGCATGATAAGGAAATACGGGGACCTCACTTTGTTTTTAAGAATACTAAAATGTCTCTTAAAGACACATCTATATGTGAAGGGTTAAGAACTGTATTATGATATAATTTATTTAAAGTTTAAAAAAACTCTACTTATTGTACTTTTAAATTGTATTAAATATAAAAGTATAAGAAACGCTAATAGAAGAAAAATAAAATATCCCACCATGTACCTTGGAACCTTCAAAGTTAAAAAAAAAATCTCAGTCAGACAACCTTGCAATGGTATCAGACTTGAAGTAACTTGTCAAACACACTCTAGACATGGTGCAGACCAACTTGGAGAACAGGGCCAGGATCTGTGAAGGGTGATTTGTGATATTCAAATACTAATAGATTATTTGAAATTTATATGAAATTCTTATTTCAGTGTCCATGAATAGTTCAATTGGAGCACAGCCATGCTCATATTCTTTTAAACTTTAAGTCAAATAGGTTTTTAAAAATGGATTTTAGAGAAAGGGAGGGAAAGGAATAGAGGGATAGAAACATCAATGATGAGAATCCTTGATCAGCTGCCTCCTGCACACCCCACACTGGGGAACAAACCCAAAACCCAGACATGTACCCTGACCAGGAATCAAACCGTGACTCCTGGTTCATAGGTCAATGCTCAACCACTGAGCCACACCAGCCGGGCCATGCTCATATTTTTATGTATGATTATGGCTGCTTTCTCCCTCAAATGGCAGTTGACTGCATGACTCAAAGACCACATGGCCTGCAAAGCCTAAAACATTCACTATCTGGTCCTTAGAAAAAAGGTTTGACTACTCCTGCCCTAAACTAATATTCCAGTATTCACAAATCTGAACAAGGGCTGTACCTCCCCTCCAGTCAGATGCTCAGAGATGCAAGGTTCTATGCTTATTCTATTATTCTATTATTGCCAGGGCTCTGAACATTGTTAGAATTTCTTTTGTGGAACTGAGTTCACTGAGGAGGCAAATAGGCTGAGCCTGTGACCTGGAGGTACTAGGCCTGGGGTCTGCAGCTGAAGGGAGCCCAGCACCAGAAGATGCGGAATCGTGGTGCAGCAGAAATAGCTCCACACTCCAATCACACCCTGCCCAGAGCTGCCATATATATGACTTGGACAAGACACCTTAAAAACACTTTTAGAGGCAAGAGAAATTGAAGTTGTTTTCCAAGTTAAAAAAAAAAAAAGTGATGCATAAATCACAGTAAAGAATGAACTCCAGGCTCCTGGCACCGTCAGGAAGCGTCCACCCCCAGCCCTGAGGGCACCACAAGCAGTAACTGCCTTTGAAATAGGCATGGAGTGCAGGCCAGCCACATGCTCCGTGCCACTGGTCTGGTCACAACCTGGGCCTGGCTTCCTCCCCGCAGCCCCTGCCCACCCAGAGGCCGCACAGGCGGGTGGGGAAGGCGGCCGGGCGCATTGTAGACTCCACCCCTGCAGAGCAGGGCTGAGCAGCAGGCCCAGGTGGGCTGGCAGGGGCTTTGCCATGAACCCCTGGGGCCTGTTCCAGGACTCCAACCCCAGAAACTTCCTCGTCTTCGCCTGCCGCTGCTCCTCCGCCTGGAGGGTATCATCCAGTGGAGCTGCTGGGTGGCCCTGCCCCTCTATGGCTATGGAACCTCCCTGCCAACGCAGGCACCTCCGTGGGTGCGGGCAGGCGTTAGGGCCCAAAGCCAGGCTGATCGCAGTGGGCATCCACCTGCTGCTGCTCATGTTCGACATTCTGGTCTTCATGCCACTCTTCTTCCTCTCCCCCGGGCTCTGGCTGCCAGTGCGTGGGGCTTTGCATAGACAGGCCACTGGAGCTGGAGATCCTGTGCTCCGCCAACACCCTGCAGTTCATCTCCACCACCCTAGGGCTGGACAATGGCTGGTAGTATTCATGCCCCTCTGGGTCCTCGTGTGGTTCCTCTGCCTGTTCATCCTCTATTACATCGTCCAGTCCCTCCTGTTCCTTCGTCCCTGGATGTGGTTGTCCTGGAGCAAAAAAACCACGTGACCATGGCTATCAGGTGGATCACCATTGGGGTTCCCCTGCTCACTTTTGAGGTTCTGCTGGTTCGTAGATGTGATGGCCACAATACATTCTCTTACATCTCCATATCCGTCCCCTTTGGCTTTAATAGCTTTCATGGCCACTCCATTTAGGCAAAAAGGGGGAAACCATTGGTGGTTTGGTGTTCACAGAGATTTGTCAGTTTCTGCTTGAAATTTTCCCGTTTTTAAGAGAATATGATCTACATCGTGAAGATAGGGAAGATGCTGAAGAAACATCAGTTCCAGATACTCCTAAAATTGCTCCAATGTTTGGGAAGAAGGCCAGGTAGTAATAACTCAAAGTCCTAGAAAATATGTTCCCCCATCTCCCAAGTTAAATATTCATATGCCAGATTAAACTCATCTTTGGGAGTGCCCATAAGTAGAAATCATACAGACATGTCCAAAATCCACCTTACTTTTGCCTCTTTTTCATTCATCTCAATCCTAGACCTGAAAACAGGCTCCAAACATGGTCACCTCATGCCTTGGAGATTGATGCCTCTCAGTGATTCATCAGTATGTGCCATCGATTAGGGGTTATTTAAATATATAGAATGTGTGGTGTATGACATGTGAGAAGACTTGCTTTCCAGATTGGTGCTTAAGGAGCTAGCTGGGAGCAGTAACCTAAATTGTTTCAGTAGGTCCTCAAATGGAATAATAATATAGCCAGAGTTGGGTTGTTTTTTGTTTGTTTGTTTGCTTGCTTGCTTGCTTGTTTGTTTGTTTTTAAGTGGTACTATATCTATCAAAAGTATTATTATTAAAAATCCTATATAATAAAAGCATAGTATGCAAATTGTCCCCTCAATGGGAGTTCTTCTGGGAGTTTGACCAGGGGGCAGGCTGGCTGGGGGAAGGGAAGGAGTACCCAGCTGGCAGCTGGCAGCCACTAGGGACCCTACCAGTGCACGAATTTCTTTTTTGTTGTTGTTGTTGAGTGCCTTTCTTTATTCTTTCCTTACCACCCACAACTTGCTCTTTTGGCATCTGTAATAATTTCTGTTTAAATAAATTCTCTAGAGCTTGTCCCATAAGAACAATGTCATCTCCAGGCTTGTTGTATAAATAACAATTCGAGAACATTGTTCTGAAGTCTTCTATGCATTCTGAAGCCTCCACATAATACTTATTTTCCAAGCGCTTCTTAATTGTACTTAAATCCATTGGGTTTTTGATAATGGTGTAATAATCGGGCAACTCTAGTGTCACGGCATCCACAGGCTGCTGAAAAGGCCAGGAAAAACTATGCTTCCATAAAGCCTTCAAGACAACTTTTTGTAGATACTGCAGCTGATTTGTCAATCTCCCATTTTTCTTAGTATTTATATATTCTGGTGGTGGAGGGTTAGTAATAGCTATTTGTCTTCTTGGCAGAGACATTCTTAGTTGCTTCAAATTCTGATATTCTAATGTCTACAAATAAATGTCCTTTTTCTACATAAGTACTAGAAGTTGTTTCGTTATGTATGTCTTAGTTTTGGATGATTTAGGTTATTTCAATCTTTCACAGTATTTCTGTTTTTCTAAGACACAAATTGACGTCTTGGCAGGAAAAGTCTGTAAGTTTGTCTTGCAAGAAAAATCTTGTCTGATCGTCCCCTGGAGCTTGCACAGGATAAAATGGTGCAGGCAGTGGTTCTCCACCAACCTTCGCTACCAGCTCTCAACTCGATGGCAGCTGTTCTTGCGCCAGTTGTTGGGGTCCAACCCCAGCAGGTCCAGGGGTTCCCAAAGGTGTGGATGGAGTCGGCGAAGAAGAAATGACACGGAGACAGCGTTCAGTTGATCAGCAGCCTAGCCAGGTTCTCTAGTCAAGTTCTCAAGCCAGGTTCTCAGTGCACGAATTTCATGCACTGGGCCTCTAGTCTTTTTATACACTGCTAGCCTAAAATTGTATTTCAGATTGGGCCTGTTGTGACATATTGAAAGCAAATGTAAAGAATTTTCTCTCCCATTACTTGTTTATAAACCTCATAGTTGTTTTAGAAAAAAAATGAACTCCATTACGCCAGACTTGTTTCCCTTTTTGATAAAAAAATTTTCTCTACAAAGATGACCTCTTACAGCTTGTCTAACTCAATAAAAATTCTGAATTAGGTAGTCCAGAAAAAAAAGCACTTAAAAAATTTCCCTATATGTAAAAACTTAATTGTGTTTTATTTGTTCTATTGACTGTTTCTATATCACAAATAGAGAGGGTATAAATAAATAGAAGGATGAGTAGAAGATAACCATAATCCTAAAAAAGACTATAGCAGAATCTAATGTCCCCAGATGAGCATTTCACAGCATAATTAGAATATCTGTGAGGTTACCTGAGCTATGGAGGCCTGGGGATTACCCAGTAAGTTTTTGAAGGAGCGCTTGGAAATCCATCTGACTTGATGGCAGAAGGAGGTGGCATAGATGATCTTTGTGAAGGCTGTGCTCTTCTTCTTTTTCTGATCCCCCAAGAGTTGACCTAACTCAACTTTCGTTTCTCTGAAGAAGTCAGAGTTGGCATAAAACTCAGCTAATTTTTCTATGAGTGGCTTATCTCTCTTGGAAGGCTCTTCAGTCTCTTGGGCTTTGGAATAAAAATGGACAGAGGGAAACGTTAACAAAACAACTTAGCCCATTTTTATGGAACCCCTTTCTTAGATTCTTCCCTAACATCTTAATTCTAAAGCTTTAGCATGAAAATGATTAGACCTGTCATTGCTTTACACATTAGAAAAATAAGTTAATGGTCTGACTGCTTCCATATACTTATGGATAGAGTAAACCCACTGACCTTTCCCTAACTATAATATTTGTAGCCTGATTCTTTTAAAATAAACTTACCATAGGACTCCAGCCGGGTTGCTCAGCTGATTGGAGCATCACCCCATGCACCAAAAGGGTCAGGGCACATACCTAGGTTTCAGGTTTGATCCCTAGTGGGAGGCAAAAGATTGATATTTCTTTCTCTCTCCCTCTCTTTCTCTCTCTCTCTCTCTGTCTTTCTCTCTCCTTTCCTCTCTCTCTAAAAATCAATAAACATATCCTCAGGTGAAAATTTATAAATAAAATAAACATTCCATAGGAACTTGTAATTTTTTAAAAAATTAATTAATTTATTTATTTTTATTATTTTTTTAATCCTCATGTACAACAAAATCTGTGCCAACTGGTATTACAGACTGGATGTTTATTTCCCCAAAAAATTCATATGCTGAAATCCATTCCCAATGTGATGATATATGAAGGTGGGGCCTTTGAGGAGTGATTAGGTCATGAGGGTAGAGCCCTTGTGAATGAGGTTAGTACCCTTCTAAAAGGCCCCAAGAGCTCCCTCCCCACTTCCACCATGTGAGGGGGCAACGAGAAGATAATGGTCCACCAGATACAACTGGTATCAGAGGGCAACATTAGTTATATAATTCACAAAGCTACATTTTAATGAGCTACCACATTGCTGAACTTCAGGCAATTCAATTAGGTAATCTGTGACTCTAAACAGATGCACATACCTTCATCATCTTCAACCACTCTGTTTAATACCACAGCAGAGGAGTCTCCATTAATGACATCCAGGAAGAAGTCTGCAGGGTTATTATAGGGCTCACAGTGGTGACCTACAGAAGAAGGCAACCCAGGTACACAAGCATGATGGTCTTAGGAAATAAAGACTCACTTTCAGGGGGTGAGGGAGATGAGGCTTGGAGAGACAGAATATAATGACTTCTACCTCTCTTCTTTCTCTCTTCTGCCCTCACTAATTTACTCTTTCTTTTTACATATTCAATCACACAATATGTCAACAATTCTGTCTCCTGGCAAAAATCATACTCCAAACCAACCTTAAAGAACTCTTACAAAGCCTTACTGACATAATTCATGAGATCTGAAACAGCTATTAATATGCTCTGGTGTTTATCAGTACATGTTAAAAAAATAAATATCAGTCCAAGAAAAATAAAAGTTGAAAAAGAAATAAAGTTATAGGTAGGATTAATGCTCCTCAAAGCAAGGTAACAAGCAAAGCCAGCCCAGGGTTCTGTTCTCTGGGTTCACCTAGGGACTGCCAAAATGCCAGTATCCACTTTAGCAATGGTTGCTTCTCCACCTACCAAATTCAGGTCCAAATTATCATCTCTTATGCTATAATTACAGCATAGAGAACAAATCGCTCTCAAGAGGATGTGACCAGCATGGCACACCTGAATGCTTTACCTTCACTTCTTTACCTGATCATCTGAACTCAACTTGGCTTGTAGTCTTCTCTTAGATTCATCTGCCCTACACTCCCCAGATCCAGGTATGTTATACGATAGAGATTAAACAAAAAATAAAATTTCATAGATAGCTATAAAATATTTAAAACTATATTTGGAGTCAAGAAGCATCATCTATAATAATAAAAGCATAATATACTAATTAGACCGGACATCCTTCCAGACAACCTTCCAGGCGAAGCCGTGGCTGCAAGGGAAGCCCAGGTCCCGGGTGCCTGCCGGTGGCTGGAGGGAAGCCTGGGTCCAGGGTGCCAGAGGGAAACCCGGGTCCCGGGTGCCAGAGGGAAGCCAGTGCCAGCAGCTGGGGGAAGGAAGGCCTACTCTTGCACGAATTTTGTGCATTGGGCCTCTAGTCTATAATAATATCCAAGTATCTCTAAAATGAAGCAGATGCATGAGTCATAAAAACTTACACCTTTTCATCTGAAATAGAGCCAGGCAGCCCAGAACTGTCAGAAATGCTGGCCCATTGAAGTCAGACTCAGGAGTAGCCATTCCATTAACTGGTAAGTCACTCATATCCACTCAAGGACTAAATCTTCAGTCTAAGGTTACTAGAAAATTCAGCAGCATCTCCTCATCAACATCCCAACCAAGGTAGAAAAATGATACAGCTTGATCTGTTATATGGTCAAGAAGACAAATGATTTTGGGGGAAGGAAAGTATTAGGCTTTTCAAAAAAAGTTCAGTTAGACTAATAACTGATTATGAGATTCATATATTTCTTGAACTGTTAGGAAAAGGGCAGTAGAACTGGGAAGCAGAACAGTATAGTCCCAGTAGAAATAGTCCTACACATACACAGGGTATGCATTCACACTCAACCAGGTCAAGAAAGCAACCTAAATAGCGAGCCAGGGATGCAAAATGAAGACAAATTCTAGCACTAAACTGACCAAAGATGGTCTGGAGTGGTGGAATCCATGTTATCTCTACTCAAAGATCAAGCAGCACTCTGACCACCTCCCCTGCTCTCTTTCAGGATTCTATTAAGGAAGGATCTCACTGCATGAAAAGGTGACCATACCAGCTGATGCAAAGTATCCCAAGGCTTCCTGAGCAGGCCCATGGAACATCAGTTTTCCTGAGGCCAATAAGGTGAGGCTATCAAACAACTTGAAAATGGAATAACGAGGCTGATGAATGGAGAAGATGATGGTTCGTCCATGTTTAGACATCCTAAGGTAAAAGTGAGAAAATAATGAGTCATTCAACATCTGAATCTCGGAGGGAAGGCAGGGAAGGGTGAGTGGGTGGGAGGTAATCAACTGAGGACCTTGTATGCATATATTCTTGGCCCATGGCCACAGACAATGGGGCAGTGAGGGCCTGGGGTGGGGTAGGGGGGCAGGGAGGACCGGCTAGGGGGGTCAATGAGGGAAAAAGGGGGACATATATAATACTTTCAACAATAAAGAATTATTTTTAAAAAACTAAAAAACATCTGAATCTTGTACTTCAAAAACAAAAACAAAAAACTTTATTCCTGCCTTTAGTTCATTTGTTCCTGGTTCAACTTGATTTTTTCTTACTAACTTTTCATCCCATCTTATCTCTCAGAAAGTAAGGGGACCTAGGTTCAATACTTTTATGAAAGATTAAGGTTTTTAAAATTGTATCCCATGAACAATCCACAATGAATTCCAAGATTAATAAAAAATGCAGATTCCTGGACAGTCTTTCTAGAACTATTGGTTCTATGGTATCCATATTATAAAAAGGCACCAACTGCCTGGACAGTGTAGCTCAATGGTTGATCGTCAACCCATGAACCAGGAGGTCATAGTTCGATTCCCCATCAGGGCACATGCCCAGGTTGTGGGCTCGATACCCAGTAGGGGGCATGCGGAAGGCAGCAGACCCATGATTCTTTCTCATCATTGATGTTTCTATCTCCCCCTTTTCCTTCCTCTCTAAAATCAATAAAAATATATTTAAAAAAATAAAAAAATATTTTAAAGGCACCCAGGTAACTTGTAAGTACACACAACTTTGAAAACTTACTGTGGACTAAATATTAAAATAATGGTTGTAGTCCCATTCTCATTGACCACTGAAGTCTTCAAGCCTTTAGGAATTGGTGTTCATTTTTCTCTCCCAATAATACCATTAACATTACTGCATACTTACTATATCTTTGTTAAATATAAATACTTGTAACTGAATTTTCACAATATTTATACAAGGCACTCATAAAGCAGTACTGATAGTACCGACGGTATTGTTACCTTCATTTTACAGATAAGGTCTAGAAGGTTAAGCAACTGGCCCCCGGTGTCACAGTTGGTAAGGGGCAGGGCTAGGGTTTGTTGGCCCACGGCCAAAACATTGCTAAACTACCTTTACACAGGATTTACTAGAAACAAAAGCTAAAATCACTGTTCTAAAACTGTTATTAGTAAATATATTTATGAGAAGAATCACTTCAACTGAAGCACTTTATAAGCACCTACGCTATGCTAGCAGTGCTGTACAAATTCTGCCTCAAGAGGATCAGGCCAGTAAATCGATCATTTGAATACAATGTGGAATAGAAGTAGCTGAGGATCCCTTGTAAGCAAAATAGGAGGCTATAACCCAGTCTGAAGATGATATAAGATAGTGTCAAGGGGGCCAACAGGAATAAGCCCTGAAGAAAGAAAGTCTAGTCAAGGTGAAGGAACATGGAGAACAAAGTGTGTGATGAAAGGTCTATTTGGGAACCTGTAAGTAGTTCAGTGTCATTGCAGAGTCGAGTTGAGGGGTGAAGAGAAGAGAAGCTAACAAAAGAGACTGCATCAGAAAGTAAGCACGTGATGAATCCCTTTACTCAGAAGCTGGAACTTCAATCAGTAGGCAACAAGGAGCCAGGAAAGGACCGGGAGCTCCTCTAAGTGTGGTCTGAGCACCAATGGCATCGGGATCAGTACCTCCAATGAGAAATGGAGACTCCTGGGCTGCGCCTCAGAACTGCAGAGGAAGAAAATGCATTTTAACAAGACCCCAGGTGATCAGTGTGCACAGTGGAGCTTGAAAACGTTTGGGTTCGAGCTCCAGCATGGGGAACGATGCTTGTGTGCTCACTAGTCCAAAACATAGTGAAAATACTTACAGTATTATCAATTCATCATTCCTCTAATGGACACTGTTAACATAGTTACGAATGATAAAAACACCATGGATTTATTCTCTAACTAAACTTGAACCGCAGATCCATTACTTGGCATCTTTACTTATACGTGCAATTGACATCTCAAACTTAAGATGTCTAAAATCTCAGACATCTTCCCATCTTCATGTTTTCTTCTCATGCTGGCATAGAGCCTTGATTACATGGGCATCAGAGGAAGCAAAGTAATAATAGGGAGGGAATGCCAACCAGTGTGTGGCTCAGCGGTTGACCCAGAAACCAAGAGGTTGCTGGTTCAGTTCCAGGTCAGGGCATATGCCTGGGTTCTGGGCTCAATCCCCAGTAGGGGGCCGTGCAGGAGGCAGCAGATCAATGATGTTCCTCTCTCATCAATGTTTCTATCTCTCTGTCCCTCTCCTTTTCCCTCTCTCTTAAAAACATTTTTTTAATGGGCCTGGGAGAGGGGAGGTTTGAGGGGATGGTGGGCACAGTACACTGTGTCCTAAAGTGTTTATTCTTTTTCATTTCAAAGAATTCACTGGTATGGAACAGGTAACATGACATAAGGGAGTGTATGGCATATTCAGACTTGGTGCCTTATGTCAGAACACAGCGATGGGTCATCACCACTGCTCACGGCAGCGGGAATACGGGCACGTGTGTAAAGTGATGCTGTGCTGGCATGTGATCTTTGAACCTTTACCAAATCAGTTTGTTTTCATTAGATTTGTCACACAGTTGTAATCTTTTAAAACTTTTAAGGCAGTGTCATGCAACAGGTTTATTTTTCCTTTCATGCAACTTTTCTACACATCTTTTGGAGGGTAAACGTCACCATTCCCATTGCTGAACCAAAGGTTATTATTTTTAAAGGGTAAATTCCTCATTATTTACATTTGGGTCTGAAAAGGAGGTGACTTCTCGAACAGCCACGGTTGTGTATTAAAAGCTGATGTTCTAAAAGCCTGTGTGGGAACCTGCCCTGCTGGCTGCAAAAGGCAGTGGGTATGAGGAACCAAAGTGCCGGGAAATGGGAGATGTCTGGTTCTTCTTGTGAATTGAAATATAAAACCATGGTGTCTGTATGACTGCTGATGCAATTGTTTTTGTAAATCTTTTTTTAAAAGGTATATTTTTTTTATTGATTTCAGAGAGGAAGGGAGAAACGGAAACATCAATGATGAGAGAGAATCATTGAGCAGCTGCCTCCTGTATGCCCTCTACTGGGGATGGAGCCTGTAACCTGGGCATGTGCCCTTGACTGGAATCGAACCTGGGACCCTTCAGTCTGCAGGCGGATGCTCTATCCACTGAGCCAAACGAGCTAGGGCTATTTTTGTAAATCTTGTTGTGGCATATACAGTATTGTCATAGGACTAAAGAGAAACACAGGGTTTCCTAATGTCAGTGCTCTGAAAATGTCGACACTGTATATATAGTTTGGTTTTTTGTTTTGGGGTTTGTTTGTTCAGATTGAAAAATTAAAATAAATCTTACTATATTAAAAAAAATGAAAAATAAAACTCTAAAGCTTCCCATGTCACTTAAGGACAGTAAAAGCCAGAGTTCTTATTTTTTTAATCTGTCACCCACTCCATTCCATCTCATGTCCTATTCTGTTATGGAATGAATTATATCTCCCAAAAATTCATATGTTGAATTTGTAAGCCCCAGTACCTCAAAATGTGACTATATTTGCAGATAGAATCTTTTGTTGTTGTTGTTGTTGTTGTTGTTGTTGTTAATCCTCACCCGAGGATATTTTCCCATTGATTTTTGGAGAGAGTGGTAGGGAGGCTGAGAAACACAGACAGGGAAACATCAATGTGAGAGACATTGATTGGCTGCTTCCCACACGAGCCTGCGACCACGGTACGTGTCCCTGACCAGAATCAAACCAGGACCCTTCAGTCAGCAGGCCAGTGCTCTATCCACTGAGCCAAAGGGCTAGGGCTGTGGATAAAATCTTTAAAGAGGTAGCATAGGTTAAAGAAGACCATAGGGGTGAACCTTAATTGATAAATACTAATGTTCTTATAAGAAGAGGAGATGAGACACACCTAGGGAATATGAAGTGAGACACAGTGAGAACACAGCTACCTACAAGCCGAGGAGAGGGCCTCCGAAGAAACAATCCTCACAAGACATTGATCTTGGACTTCTGGCCTCCAAACTGTGAAAAAACTAATTTCTATTGCTTAAGCCACTCAGTCTGTGGTACTATTTTATGGCAGCCTGGACAAACTACTACACCAACCAACCCCCCCACTCCACTTAGGTCACTGGGTTCCATTCCCTCTGGCCTCTTGAGTTCCAAACACATTAGGCATGCTCTCCCCAGGGCCACTGGCTGTTCCTCCAATGAGAACTCTCTTCCTCAGATCTCCCGAACTCACTCACAGCTCACATGGCACATCCTGAGGTCTTCCCTGACCATCCTGCTATGTAATACAGCACCACCCTCCTCCACCTCATCAGCCTTCCCTATATTCTTACACTCCTTTATTTTTCTTGAAACACTTATATTTGCTAATTGATTGTTCCCCTCCAACAAAGAAGGGAGAAATGTTTGTGTGCTGTGCTCATTGCTGAATCCCCTGCACCAAGATTCATACCTGGTACATAGCAGGGCATCACATGTTGGATGAATGTGAGAACAATGTTCCCATAGCGCTTACCTCTTCAGGAGCAAAAGGACAGCATTAGCTGTGCTTGAGTCTAGGCCAGTTGTGGGCTCATCCAGGAACAAGATGGATGGATTGGTAATAAGCTCCATTCCAATACTAGTCCTTTTTCTTTCTCCTCCAGACACACCACGAGTAAACTGAGTTCCAACCTAACACACAAATGTTATCATTATTAACAAAAACAACCACAGGCATTATTGTTTTTAAGCTGCTAACATGTGCCAACCCTTTAAGAGGCACTTTGTCTCGCGTCCTCATATATTCTGAACTGCAAGTAAATGAGTATCTGAGAGAAGAGAATGGTTTCTCTTTAATTAAACAAGTAAATGGAAGCTCAGGTCAGAGCTGGTACATGGCTAAGCCAGATATGAAACCCACGCTTTTAACAGTTCTATATGTTCCTTATCAAATCAAATATTTAGTTTTAAGATCAGAAGTTAGAACTTAAAGACATGGCCCTGACATAGTGAAATCACAATCCAAAAAGGAAGATAAAAATAGGAGAGGAACAGGTGAAAGTATCTAGAATTTATTAGTCTTCTTATGCCCCTGTCTTTCTCCCCCACCGAAAAAGTCCTCAAGTGGACTCAAAAACTAGGCCTTGGCAGCTAAGAAGGCTCATTTTCTACCATCCACATTAGCACTTACAAAATCACCATAAGGCCTCCCAAATTGCCCCAATCTATACCCTAACACAACACATAATTCCTGACATCCTTTTAGGCAAAGTCAGAAGGCAGAACATTCTACAGGTGACTGGCTCAGTCTTTCAACCAGTCAGTGTCACTGTGTGTGGTGGGGGAGCAGAAAGGTTTTGGGGGAGGCAGGAGGTAGGAAATAATTCTTATAGTAAAAGTCTCCAAAGAGATAATAATCACATGCTACTCATGCTCTTGATTAGATCCTATAATGATCGAGCTATAAAAGACATTTTGGAAACAATTGGAAAACTGTGAATATATGTAGACTCTATATAGCTAATATTAAAATATTATTAATGTTGTTAGTTGGTAATGACATTGTAGTAATGTAGACAAATTCCATTTTTTAAAATAAAAAATGTTTTAGAGGTGAAAATGATATTTATAACTTTCTTTAAAATACTTTAGAAAGAAAAACCTGAAGCTATCTATACTAATAAAAGGGTAATATGCCAATTAGACAGGGAGACCTTCCGGATGTCCTTCTGGACAAAGCCATGGTGGCAGGGCCAAGGCAGAGGCGGTTAGGGGTGATCAGGCCAGGAGGGGAGGGCTTGGTTTGGGGCAGTTTCTTGACTGACCTGTGCATAAAGGCCACAAGAAGGATTTCTGGTTCTGTCAACAGGGCAGCAATCTATACTAATAAAAGGGTCATATGCTAATTAGACCGGGAGACCTTCCTGGACGTCCTTCTGGACAAAGCCATGGTGGCAGGGCTGAGGCAGAGGCAGTTAGGGGTGATCAGGCCAGCAAGGGGGGTCAGTTGGGGGTGAGCAGGCCAGCAGGCAGAGTGGTTAGGGGCAATCAGGCAGGCAGGCAGGTGAGTGGTTAGGAGCCAGTGGTCCCGGATTGCGAGCATGATCAGGCCTAAACTGGCAGTCGAACATCCCCCCAAGGGGTCCCAGATTGGAGAGGGTGCAGGCTGGGCTGAGGGTTCCCCCCCCCCCCACGTGCACTGGGCCACTAGTTATTGAATAACATGTTAACTAGGAAATCTAGGTGAATGTTACCAGTAATCATACCATTGTGTTAATTATGCTACGATCATGTCATTACTATAGGAATCAGACCATTCTCTCTACATTTCTCTTATGTTTAAAATTTTATAACAGGTATAACATTTTTAATGTATTGTTACAGTCAATTACATAAACATGTTCTATGAAGTCAACAACTGCCTTCAGCTTATTTTCCCTAGAAATCCATGCAAGGAACTCAGGTGATGATCACTAGAGGTCAAGACAGGAAAGCACCTTAGTGGAAAGAGAGAATCACATGAACAGAGCTCCAACAAAGGGAGCCCAATCACTCATGAAAATAAGTGGTACATGGGAGCAGCTCAGACTTATTCTTCCAAAATACACTAGACATAGAAGATTGAAAGCATCAGATGAAGCAGCGGCCAGCAGAATACCCCACCTTCATGACCTCTCAGTAAGGGATAGTGCAGAGGGATTAAACTAGAGCCATAACAACTGAAAAGCTCATCTTCACCCAAAGCTTTGATGTCTTCCAGCAAATCTTCCATGTCTACTCATCAACTGTAAATCATTCCCTCCCTCATCTCATTTCTCCTTCCTGATCCTGCACAACCCACACAGCGAGCTACTTTTGTCTCTTTCGCCCACAGCTGTTATCTATAAAATCCAAGGGAGCCCAGCACACGACAGTGTGTAAGTAACCCTGGCAGAAGGGAGGGACAGTGGAAGAGAGGGGGGAGGGATGGGAGACAAAGTGCCCTTAGAAAGGCTTTAGGAAAACAAGTTGGCTGCTACACAAATTAGAAATAAATACTAATTTGACTGAAAATAATTTTGGAGGCCCAATTATAGCAAAGTGAAATATATATGTCATTTATGAATTCCAGAAAAATAGTTATTTATGAATTCCAGAAATATAGCTGGGATTGTAGTCATTTATAAATGTTTAGTCATTTATGAATTTTAGTCATTTATGAATTCCAGAAACATAGCTCCAAAGCAACACAACAAAGTCCCTAAAGGAAGAATAGCTAAAAAAGGGAAGAGAAAACAAAAAAATAAAAGTTAGTAAAGAGACACCGAATGAGACAGGACTTACACAGTTAGTGAGGGGGAGGAGCAAGCACTGTCATCACAGGGAAGGGACATGTAGTCTTTGCAAGAACACTTTTACCTACCATCTCCAGGATTCAATCATTTTTTAATTTTTTTCCTGGTTAAGTTTCACCTTCCTATTATGTAACTACTCATTTTTATCATTGTTTTTAGAAAGGAGCCGCTTTGACCACACACATTATAGGAAACTTCTGGGTAAGGGTCCTATTTGCTGGCAATGACCCCATCAGTTGTGTCATTACCTTGGAATCTGCCACTTTAGCCAGACCTAACTCTTGAATGACCATGTTTATCCGTTCATTTTTTTCATGATTCTTCATAGTTGATGGAAGGCGAAGAGCTGCTGAGAACTGTAAATTTTCTCTCACTGTCAGAGTTCCCATCACAACATCATCCTGAAGGCAAAATGGCATTTTAAAAAGACAAATCAGGTCTTTTCTAGTAAATTCAGTCTTCAGTATATACAACTTAATCCACAAAAATAACATAGCCAAGGGAAAGTTCTAGCTAGTGATGAGCTTTAATTATACAAATTATACCAATAACTCCATATTCAGATAGCTGCAAACCCTGATGGAAGAATTCTCATTCCTATCTGTACACCCGAAGAGAACACAGGCAATTATGATTTCTACTGGCAGACATTTCCAGACTGCTTCATATAAGGCTTTGACAAAACATCTTTCTAAGCTAGGGCAGGGAGAGAGGGGAAGGTAGGGAAAAAAGTAAATCAGTAGCATCTTTTGGGAACATGATAACTAGAACTGTTATCATTTTGTTAGCAGGGTCATATTCTAGATTCTCCCTGCCTTTTTATTTAACATTACTGTACATCTTAAGGGAGATTATGAGAAGGTGGTATAAGGAAAGTTGGTTTTATGCCCAGGTTATGTGATCAATGGGAAGCACACTGCACTATCAGCCAAAGAACTTGCCCACATAAAACCGGAGATATCTAAAATGCAAATCAATGCATACTTACTTGTACCACATAACCTGAGATACATTTGAAACTGGCAGGTCGAGGTGCTCCATTTATCAAAACATCTCCAGTTAATCCCAGTGGGTCTTTCCTTGCAGCTAAGATATCTAACAACCTATAAAAGGATATATATGGTATGTTTTTTTCTCCAACGCAAGTTATACCTCTCAGTTACTCTGAATGCAAATTCTGTTCAAATTAAAAAATTAACTGATCAAGAAAATCTATGGTTCAACTCTAATTACACATATATTTTTTAAATTCTCAAGTTCCTTTTTTACTCTATGCTACAATAAGGTCCAAAAAATGTGAAAACAAAGCACTGTTGGCTGATCCAGCACAGACCTCCCCAACAGCCCTCCAAGCTGCCTGACCTTTGGGTCCCAACACAGGCGATGTGCTCCTTTAGCCAAGACTCACTCCACTTATGATTCTGCTCCACCTCCCCACTTTCAATTCCACCCCCATCCTTTTCCTCCCATTAGCTCCCATCATACCTGACACCTATAAGCCAATCACCCCTCATGCCCTCTCAGTAAACCTGACCTAATAAGACACAGCTGGCATAAGTGCATGTGATCCACAGTGCCTAGAGCCCTAGACCCAGACTAGACATGCAGCAAATATTCAACTAATACCTGCCCTCGTAAAAGTGATCTGTAAAAGCACATTAAAAATGCAAAGGGAACGCTTACTGATACTCTGGTATACTCACGAAGATTTGCCTCCACCTGTGGGTCCCAGAATGGCGTTGAGGCCAGGTCTCATGATCCCACTGCAAATGCAGAAACAGACTGATTTACTGGTTCACTTTAAAACTAGTTCTACTGCCCTAGCAGGTTTGGCTCAGTGGATAGAGCATCAGCCCGTGGACTGAAGGGTCCTGGGTTTGATTCTGATCAAGGGCACTTACCTTGGCTGCAGGCTCGATCCCTGGCCCTGGTTGGGGCAGGTGCGGGAAGCAACCAATTGATGTGTCTCTCTCACATCAATGTTTCTCTCTGTGTGTCTCTCCCACTCCTTTCCACTCTCTCTAAAAATCAATGGAAAAATATCCTCAGGTGAGGATTAAAACAAAACAAAACTATTTCTACTAATTTAGGGTCTGCATTTAATACACTCAATGAACACTGATGAAATTAGACAAGAAAATAAGCACAAAACAACCTTTAACGTGGGGAAAAAAAGGAAATGTCAAATAGAAGTCTAGTATACAAAGAATGTCATCACTAGTCAGCACCTATAGAAAAAATGGCTCAGGTCCCTCTAAATTCACTTCAGTTATTCTCTAAACCACTTATACTTTTTGGGAAGGGACACACAAACTTTCAAGGTTCCTTGAAGTAAAAGATTCTGGTAGAACATCTGTTAACATTTACTTCTCTTAACACAATGTTAAGTACATCACAGGTCTTGAGTAGTGTTTCAGGGTAATTATTTCAAGTCACCTCATTTGCTACCTAGTCAGGTTCTACATAACTAAGTAGTCAATGGCTTTCTACAATTACCAGTATCAGTGCTTTCACTATTCAAATCTAATCAGGCGAAAAAACAATATATCTGACGTAGAAATTTAATGGCTAGAAAAGAGCACCTCAGATGTTGAAAAGAAAACCTCACCAGTTCTAAAGCTGACAAAATTCTTAATCCAATTGTTAAAGTAAAACATGTCTTCCAATTACATAATTTTCTTTCTTGTAAAGTTTTAAACAAACAACCTGGAAAATTCTCAGTTTATAAATGGAAAACTCCACTTTTTATTGAGGATGACCTTTAAGGGTATACACAGGTGGTACAGACACTGCATGTTCCAAACAGATTACATAGATGTTTGTGGGTAGAGAATATTTAGATAGAAAGCAGGAAGGTAGAAAAAACATTAAGGCAGTTGACTGTGCTGAGATTCAAGAATGCAAATATGCAATTTGAATTTAACCCTGAAGGTCACCAGTAGAATGGTAAGGAGAATGCACTGGAGTACGGAGAAGGAAGGGTGGGTCCACCACAGTTACACAGGCATGATGAAATGGAGTCTGAGGAAGGCCTTTCAAAACCCTGGTGTCCAAGCCCAATCTCTGCAGAATTGGTAGGTAAATCAAAATTTACTCCCCAGCCCGGCCAGTGTGGCTCAGCAGTCGAGCTTCAACCCAGGAACCAAGAGCTCACCAGTTCAATTCCTGGTCAGGACACATGCCCAGGTTGTGGGCTCAATTCCCAGTAGGAGTATGTGCAGGAGATAGCTGATCAAAGATGTTCCTCTTTCACCGGTGTTTCTATCTCTCTATCCCTCCCCCTTCCTCTCAAATGAATAAATTAAAAAAGACTTTACTCCCCAGAGAATCCAGTATCTCTTCCAGTGGAAGGTGCAAAGCAGAAGGCTATTTTGTGCCCAGACAGTGACTATCACAGGGCAAACACTGATGTACAGCTGTCGTGAGTGACAGACGTCACAGTGCAGCTGTGCTCAGTGCGCCAATCCAGGAGGACCTCAGCACTGCCTGCCTGTTGTGCCCGAACCGTCATGAGTGTAAAATGCCTGGTGGGTGCTAGGGTGCAATTTACCTTCTACTTTGCTCATTAACTGAGGAGCCTCTCACTGAAACATTGGACAAATGCAATGAGTTAGGTAAAGCAACACAAGCTCTAAAACAGAAAAATATCTATTATTTCAGTGGCCTTTCCCCTCTGATGTAATAAGTCATGCCAATGGTTGGGTGAACTTTCAAGATGCATTTATCTATAGCTCTTCATGTACCTTCTGCATTGATAGCTACCTACAAACTGTTTCCAAAGTGACCAGAGATAAACTTGTTACTCACTAAGATTTCATCACCAGAAAACCTTTCCAGGTTTTAAAAATCTCTACTCAAAGACCAAGCAATCCTAAATGATTAACTCAAAAGACAATGTGAGCGTTCTAAGACAAAGAATTTTGCAGAACCCTGAGTTGGGCTTCCTTTGGCACTAAACCCTAGCATTATAGAAAACAATAATGGAAAATTCTAACTGCAAGAGTCCTAGTTTGGAGCAGTGGCTAATTCTCCCTCCATTCACTCAACACAATTATTCAGTGTCTATGTGTGCACAAGACACAAGACATGGGTCAGAGCTCAGAATAAAAGCTCTAGCCCTCGTGGATTCTACATTCTAGTCCAGGGATCAGCAAACTACAGGTGGTCATGTCCTCTATTTTTTTTAAAAAAAGGTGTTCTTGGAACAGAGCCACACTCACCCATTTATGTCTGTGGCTGCTTTCCTGCTGCAGTGACAGAGTTGAGTAGTTACAACACAGATGTGCGGCCCATCACAACTAAAATATTCACTATCAGGACCTTTACAGAAAAAGTTTGCTGACTTCAGTTCTAGTCCATAATCTATAATTCCCTTGTTGCCCCACCCCACCTTCCCACAAAACCCATTCCCCATCCTTCTTTATTGATTTATATAGCATTTATGTGCCTGAAAGTCTCCCTCACTATATTGTAAAACCTTGCCAACAAGAACTGTGCCATCTTGCCCTGGCTGGTTTGGCTCAGTGGATAGAGTGTCAGCCTGCAGACTGAAAGGTCCCAGGTTTGATTCTAGTCAAGGGCACATGCCTGGATTGAGGGCTCAATCCCCAGGGGGCATGCAGGAGACAGCTTATCAATGATTCTCTGTCATCATTGATGCTTCTATCTCTCTCTCCCTTCCTTTTGAAGAGAGAGAGAGAGAGAGAGGTTGAGAGAGATAGAGGTTGAGAGAGAGAGAGAGAGAGAGAGAGAGAGAAAAAGAGGAAAGAAGGAAGGAAGGAAGGAAGGAAGGAAGGAAGGAAGGAAGGAAGGGAGGGAGGGAGGGAGGAACTGTGTCATCTTCTTTCACCACCACCCCATAGCATGCAGGTCTACTCATTGTAGACCACTGAGTACTGAATAAATGAAATAAAACCTAGCTACAGGATTTCTATTACATCTATTACATTTTAGTGCAGCGGTCGCCAACCTTTCAGACCTCACCGACCACCGGTGGTCCACAGACCACTGGTTGGTGACCGCTGTTTTAGTGAATAATGGAAATCCTTTGGTCTCACTTTATGAATAATAAGTCAATGCCATTCCCACTGCTTGGAGCATCATCCTTCCCTATCCTGCCACACACACACACACTTCAATTTCTCTCTCCCATCCCATGCCCCTGGCCCTCCAATTGAGGGTATTGGCTTCCATGTCTTCTAACCCATGTATCACAGTAGAACACAGTGAAGTTCTCTAGTTGTCTGAATCCCCATTAGACTAGAAGGTTGCTGAGAACAGAGGACATACCTCTGTCACTAGGATCTTGCATAATGTCAGGCTCCTAATAGACACTGAAAATTAGTTGAATAAATGAGTCTCCACATTTTTATAAATGATAATTACTTATGGGAAAACCAATTGTTTTTCACAAAAACAAACATCAAGAAGTACAAGGCCCCGGTTGGGTAGCTCAATTGGTTAGAGAGAGCATCAACCCAATACACCAAGATTGTGGATTCATTTCCTGGTCAGAGCACAAAGAAGCAATCAATGAATGCATGAATAAGTGGAACAATAAATCAATGTTTCTGTCTCTTCTCTAGAATCAATTAAAAAAAAATAAGTACAAAAATGTTATGAAAAATAGGAAGAGCCTGACTGGAAAGAAAATCTAGTTATATTTCCTACTTATTACAATATAGCATGTTCAAATAATGCATCAGTCATTTCTATTAAACTTTACCTCCCTTCTTTGTGTGAAGGTGATGGAAGTGCTGGGTGAAGGAGCAGCAATGGCCAGCACCCAAGATCACAGGCTGCAAAGGCAGGTGGGAGGAAGAGAAGAGACAGCTGAAGGGTAGAGTGATTGCTCATATTAAGAAATAAGAACCTGCTGGTGTGGCTCAGGGATTGAGTGTCAACCTATGAACCAGGAGGTCATAGTTCAATTCCTGGTCAGGGCACTTGCCCGAGGTTGTGGGCTCAATTCCCAGTAGGGGGCTTCCAGAAGGCAGCTGATTGATGATACTCTTCCATCATTGATATTTCTATCTCTCTCTCCCTCTCCCTTCCTCTCTAAAATCAATAAAAATATTTCTTTTAAAAGAAAAAAAATAAGAAAACTGAGCAAATCAGTAAGGATATTAGAATAATGAGAGTCAGTTTTCACTTTTTGAGAAGATGTTTTACAAACATGGAAATGTGGAAATAACCCTGGAGTATTACATAAGAATTGGAAGTCATGGGTTTTTATCTATATACCCAGACAGATATTAAAAAAGGCTTAGATGCTTTTATATGTGTTTATATAAATATATTCCCTAGTTCTGTCCACCAATATGTTCCAGAAGCTATGCCATCCCAATACCAATGAACATTCCAAACACCTAGATCTCAATAAGTTAGTAAATGCAAAACTCCATAAAAAGGAACATCAGCTCATACCAGGTCTGAGGCAGGGAAAGTAGTGAGTATGGAGTTTCTGTTGTGCCAACAAAATATTCAAAAAGAAAAGAAAAGAGAGAGAGAGAGACAGAGAGAATGAGTTTAAAAAACAAAACAAAACAGACCTACTTTGACCAAATCAGGAACAATACTAGTATCAAAATAAATTATGATAATGCATTAGTATTGAATGCTACTAAATAAAATGTGATTCCATGATTCTATACTAATATACATAAATGAATAAAGAGATGATGAATGAAGTTTTTTCCCCTTTTAGTAGAATGCAAACTAATCCACATGAAAGAGATGGATGAAAACAGAAAATCACTCTTTGGTAACTATCATAGTGATAATTACTGATGATTCAAGCAAGAGAGATAAATGGGGACTTAAGCTTGTGAAAAAAAATTTTGGAATAATGTCAAGGTAACTCCCCTAATAATATTAATTACATGGGGGAGAATAGTGACATTGTGATGAAGGCTGTCAGATACCAACATGACTAGGTGATCAAGATGAGAGAGACAGGAAAATACCTACCAGCTTGCGTGAGACTGAGGAGACATGATGTGATGGTCAGTCAACTATGTGAAGAGCATGGTGGCCAACAGCCCCTAAGGACCCATCACTGCAGCTATTATAAGGCTTAGCAACCACTCAGACAGTGACTGAGAGGTTATATAGGAGAAGGTCCTTATTTCTGAAAAACAGAACTGGAGGAGTTAGGAATTACAGAGTGCCACATGGACAGCTCTCAGATGGTTCAAAAAAAATTGCTAAGGACAATGGGTTATCTCAAGAGATAAAATGAGTAGCAAATGCAGTGAAATATTAACAGGTCAGGAATCTGGTAAAAGTGTTATGTTCCCACAAGTTTGAAATTATTTCTAAATAAATTATTAACTTAAGAAATCTCCACATAGATAATGAATTACCCTGAAATTATAGGATATGCACACAACTACTGGGACAGACCATTTTTTCCATAGATCATTAGCGTTGGAGAGGAAAAGCTCAAAGGCTGGGTATGGACACAAATATGTGAAGAGCATGGTGGCCAACAGCCCCTAAGGACCCATCACTGCAGCTATTATAAGGCTTAGCAACCACTCAGACAGTGACTGAGAGGTTATATAGGAGAAGGTCCTTATTTCTGAAAAACAGAACTGGAGGAGTTAGGAATTACAGAGTGCCACATGGACAGCTCTCAGATGGTTCAAAAAAAATTGCTAAGGACAATGGGTTATCTCAAGAGATAAAATGAGTAGCAAATGCAGTGAAATATTAACAGGTCAGGAATCTGGTAAAAGTGTTATGTTCCCACAAGTTTGAAATTATTTCTAAATAAATTATTAACTTAAGAAATCTCCACATAGATAATGAATTACCCTGAAATTATAGGATATGCACACAACTACTGGGACAGACCATTTTTTCCATAGATCATTAGCGTTGGAGAGGAAAAGCTCAAAGGCTGGGTATGGACACAAATTAAACATAACAGAATGATTTTTCATGAGGTGGTAAAATCTCACCTTCCTGAATTCTCATAGTCAGATTTTGTTTTATCTTCCTTCCCCACAGAGGACATTAGGTTCTGGTTCCTTAGTTCTACAAATGATACTACAAAATGTCCAGAGGAAAAACAAAAATCAAGATTCTCATCAGCAGCCCTGGCCTGTGTGGCTCAGTTGGTTGAGCGCTGTTCCATGTATCAAGAGTTCACAGTTCAATTCCCAATCAGGACCACATGCCCGGGTTTCGGGCCCCGTCCCAAGTAGGGAGCGTGCAAGAGGCTGCCCATCCATGTTTATCTCTCTCCCCTTCCCTTCCTTCTCTAAAAAGAGCACTAAAAACGTGTTTAAAATAAGAAAAGATTCTCATACAAAAAAAAAATATATATATATATATATGCTCATCAGCTTTTTTGGAATATAATTACTACTTTCAATGGCAGTGGTGCTACCACACGCAAGTCAAACTCTGGTGACCTATGAGACATCCTGGGGTGATCACTTAGTAACGGATATACATGTCTAATCACTATGTTGTACACTTAAAACTGATATAATAGTGTTTGTCAACTGTAATTAATAAATTTTAAAAATTATGGAAAAAAATTGACACCATTTTATGAACCCAGGAATGCAAGTAAAGAACTCATCTTTTGCTGGACTGCATACCCTGAACCATAAAAAAAACACTCTGAAGCCTTGAACAGATGACACTTTTAGTGCACTGAGTTACTAACCTACTAAAACATAGGCAAGATAAATGTACACTCATCCAGTATGCATTTGAAATCCATTCAACCTATTCGAATTACAAATTATTTCTTACCTTCCACTTAGCACAAAATCTGAAGTGACCAACATTTTCTTGAATGTTATGTTTCACAAAAACCTTGTCAGCTTTAAACAAGGTCAGTCACTTCTATCTAGGCATGTAGCAAAAGATAAAAGCTTTGTGATGACCTACCTCTCCTTATTTTCCTGGTCAGGGTTTCTTAACCAATACAACAAAGCAACAAGGAAGCAGGCATGACAGTATGTGCTGCTGCGTGAAGAAAGTTCTATCAACTCCACACAGCCCCTACCTCACCACCACCCAACCAATCCCAGGTCCCTGTTCTTTCTTCCCCACCCACATGCTAAACTTTTCTCCCCTTCTTGTCATGTCCTAGACTCCTGGGAGCAGTTGGCTGCTACTAACAGAAAAGACCACAATCCCATAGAACGCCAGTCAGAGAGCTAGAAAGAGTGCTTGTTTTATGCAGGAATAATCATTTCCCCTATCAAACAAACACACTAACTAAACAAAACATGGTGTCTGAGAAACCTAGATGCAGTCCCCACTCCACAGAGAGGAAGAATCGGGCTCAATTCTCTAGAAATCAGAAAAACACGAATAATCCTCATGGCTGGCACCTGTGAAAGAATAGAGACATGCGGTCCCAAGGAGGTTCCTTTCTCCGTTCCCTCCTCACTCTCCTGCCCACTCTGCCACCACATGATAAATTCATTCATGGAAGAAGAGAATGAAAATCATAGTTTAGTATTGATTTAGACCCTAAATTCTGTCATGCTGGACCTCCACTGCGTAACTTAAGCTAAGCTTTCACAGTATATTGTCTTTTCAACCTCCTGACTCTTGCTTCTAGAACATAAAGGACATAAAGGGCATAAGTACCTGAAGTGTCTGGCTCATAAACTACAGTGACAGATCTTTTATTTCACAGGTTAAAATATTAAAGACAGAGATTACAATTCTATCCCCACAGTCAGGAAGTTGCAAGTCACACAGCCAGGCCTCTTCCCACTAAACCACAAGGCTTACCCAGGAAAAGCTAAATGGCACATTAATTATTCAGTTTCTCAAACAAAAGTTGATGTACATGATACAATCACTTTAAAAACAGTTTGGCCATTCTTTAAAAACTTAAGCTTATACCCAACATGTGATCCAACCATTTTACTCCCAGTTGAGCCCAACGAAATGAAAGTGTGTGTCTATGTGTATGTACAGACATGTATACAAATAAAATGTCATAGCACCTGTGCTTGCATTAGGCTAAACCTGTGGAGCTCACTGCTGTCAATAAAGCTGTTTAAACAAAAGTTCATGCACATACTTGACATTTATCAGTATTTCTTTCTCAACTGTTTTTCGACTAAGTAGAAATCCACTCTGCACTTTCACTCGATAGCAGATGTTATGGAAACTTAACACGGCTCCTCCGGTCTTCTGGTCTTTGGGGGTGGTCCCCAGGAGGCCATCGGTGTTTCTTTGTGACATTGAGATAAAAACTTGGTCCTTATCAGAAGACATCTTGAGAGCGTCTGCTTTTCTGTAGAGGGAAAAGCAACAGTAAATTGACAGTCAAATAAATGTACTAAGTAACAACACACTTAAAACAAGTCTGTTTTCTGACAAACTTCCAGTTATAAAAGTACTAAGTCCTGGGGATGTAATGTGCAGCATAGTAAGTGTAGTTAACAATGCTGTGTTATATGTTTGATAGTGGCTAAGAGATCTTTAACGTTCTCAGTGCAAGAAAAACTTGTAACTGGTGAAGAATGTTAACGACTTATTGCGGTGATCATTTCACAATATATATAATTAGTGAATCATTATGTTCTGTACCTGAAACTGTTATATGTCATTTATATCTCAATTAAAAAAGAGTATCCCAGCCAGTGTGTCTCAGCAGTTGAGCATCAACATATGAAGCAGGAGGTCAGGGTTTGATTCTGATCAGGTTGCATGCCCGGGTTTCGGACTCCATCCCCAGTAGGGGGCGTGCAAGAGGAAGTTGATCAATGATTCTCTCTCATCACTGATGTGTTTAGCTCTCTCTCCCTTTCCCTTCCTCTCTGAAATCAATGAAAATGTATATTTAAAAAGAGTAAAAAGAATAGAGATCTAAATCTTTAAAAAGAATGTAAAATACCTCATTAATCATTTTTATATTGATTACATGTTTGCTAAAAATATTTTGGATTTATTGAGTTCAAAAAGATATATTAACATTAAAAAATAATACACAAGTCCATTTTAAACTGCCTTGCAATAAAGAGCTCTATTTTCAATGAACAGCTTATAATACTGTAATAAGAAAAACCTTGGAACTCCTATCATAGAGGTAGACACAACTCTGAATATATAAACTCCAACTGGATATCAATTAAATATCTAATAAGTCCAATAGGAAGAGTATGAAAATTACTCAAAACTCATAAAACAGGGAAAAAATGAGTGGGAGTTAAACCTATCTAGCTTGAAAAGAATTTTATGGTATGATTCAAGATCAGAGACTACATGATCACCTTCACCCCCTATTACTGTTTTTGATATTTGGGGGGTAATTTTGGAGTTTATGACACAGGCATTACAAAAAAAGGCTTAACCAGGCAGTTAAGGATAAGAAAAAGTTTTCTGAATTTATAGCCCCAGGCTTTATATCACTGCTTATAATGCTTCTTCAATCAGTAAGAAAATAAGCTTCAAAATTGTTTGAGATGACATATTTAATTAATGGGTAAACATACTTAAATTCCAGAAAGATTTAGAATTAAGTATAAAAATGATTACGAAATCAAACCAGCCCTGGTCAGGTAGCTCAGTTTGTTAGGATCTGGTCCTGATACACTGAGGTCATGGTTCATCCCCAGTCAGGGCACATACTAGAATCAACCAATGAATGAATAAATAAGTGGAACAACAAATCTCTCTCTATTTCCCTCTCTTTATCCCTCTCCCTCTTTTTCTAAAATCAATTTTTAAAAAGAGGTACATATATACAATGGAATATTACTCAGCAATAAAAAGGAATGAAATCTTGCCATCTGTTACAGCATGGATGGACCTAGAGCAGTGGTTCTCAACCTTGGCTGCACATTAGAATCACCTGGGAATCTTTTTAAAATCCTGATTTCTGGGCCTCATCCTCCGAAAATTCTGTTTCTTTGTTATGGG